GGGAGGGAGGGGGGGGGGGGGGGACTCATAGTCGTGCATGCCGAAGTAGTTAGACCATTGACCTTGTGGGAGGGGTTGGGGGTTTGTGCAGCTGTTTGTTACGCATGAACAGCAAGCGTATGGGGGGTGGGCTCATGAGAGCACGGTGCCATCGAGGGGTGATGCGAGATGAAAAAGAAAAGCGGACTGCCAGCTGTGACGCTTTTGCTTCCAAGCGAAAACAAACAGCCCACACAAAGCTGACGTGTTTAGATTCGAGGAGCCCAGCGAACCACACCGAACCAGAAAGACGAAAAATCAGATCTGTAAGCAGCAGTCTTGCATAGCGCTGTCCTGGAAGCTGTGCAAGTTGGGGACGACTGGCAACCTATGCACACAAGGTCTGCGTCTAGTCTCTTTTGGCTTTTCCGTCTGGCTCTCTAACTGTCTTCGCTACTGTAACGCGCTTTCGCACAACACGGGGGAGGTACAACTCACAGGCCTTTGTCCGCGTCCTCCCCGATTTCGTTCAGCAGCGACTCCGGCACCTGAGATTACACGAGATCACCGGCGGCAACGCACACAACACCGGGGGGGAGGCGCGGCGGGACGGTGTGAGAGAAGCGCACCGGTGTAGAGTGGGTTTGACGGTCAACGGCGGATGTTCGCCATGGGTGTGTTGCTTGCGGTAAGCATCGACAACACCTTTGGTGCTACGTGCGGACTCGCCAGGCTGGACGACTACAATGCCCGGCCTTTCTGGGGGCGTCTTTTACTGCTCTTCGGAGGCATAGACCAGAGCATCTTGCGTTTGGTGGACATGTGTAGGTTGGTTGTAGACAAGCGCCACTGCTTCCCGGAGAATGTCGACACGCCGAAGGCAACGCGGGTGTTTTCGGCGATCGGATTAGCTCGCCCATGCTTCATGGTCTCTCACCATTGTAGCATGCGCGCGTCATTCCTTCTTCGTGGTGAATTAAAGGTGTTTTTCAGCGTCAGTACGAATACCGAGCATTGCCAGGTACGTATGCTTGGCACAAACACATGCACGGTATGAGTCTATGATAGAACACACTCCCTCGCAAACGCACCCATAGTGAAGGCCGTGTACATACTGAATCGCTTAAGACTTGACCCTACGACATACACCAGGGTGATCACCCCCGGCCCTATGTAGTAGGGGGACACGGATACTGTAGAAGCATGCCGTCTGAACTGGCCTTAAAGGGTCGAGTGGGAGCGGGCTAGGTCATGCGTACTCTCCTTCGTCCTGAACGTCGCTGCTGGGGAGTCTGATTTGGAGATTTCTAGTTCACCACAGTGTACATAAGGAGTACAAGCTAGGGGGTACAGTAGCTTGACCCTAGGGAAACGATAAAGGTACGGTGTTTGTTGTCCCTTATGCTTACCAATCACAAGCATACTCTATTTCCTATGTGCGCAAGTAACTCCGCCCCGGAGACATGTTTGACTTGGTCTCCTTTCAGCAGTAGACAACGAAACACAAAAGAAACAGCACCTGTAACAAGACCAAGTTCTGGTTGTCCGACGCAAACGAATCGGAAAACTTGAGAGCCACTCCGTCACCAGTCTCCACTGCTTCCTCCAGCGGCCGAGGCCTCTTGCGGGCAGGTCCGCTAAATAGGAGCATCGGGTGGGAGATACACGGGTGCGGTGCAACACGGGTGGGTAAGGATCTTCAAGGACAGCCAAAGGCGGCGGGCAAGGATGTGGACAGTGTGTAGAGCAGCGAAAGGAGATGGGCAAGCACGCGCATCGCACATACCTCGAAAGAACAGGACAATCTTCGCCAGACCCCATCACAAACTCTGGAGATGGTAATGCAGCGTGTTGTTCCCGTCGTGTTGACAACACAACCAACACAGCAGTACACAGCTCCGCTGGGGCTCCGTGTGTGGGATGTGAATTTGAAAATTTCGTACGGGGGGGAAGGGTACAGATGTGGTAATGATCCACGGCGCGTCGAGTAACGGACTAACTGTTGTTCTGCGTTGTTGCTTTGCCTGTCGTTGAAGCGCACAGCAGTACCAGGTATACGCATACCTTGATGCGCGTGCATCGCGAAGATTACCGAGCAGAAGGAGTGTATGCTCAACTGCTTCGTGACGGGCAGAATATTGGTACGTTCGGTCGTCATATCGTAGTCGCGATATCGAACATCAATGTTCTTGGAACATGATCCAGCCGTGCCGTACGTAGTGTAGTGATCATTTCGTCGTTGTCCGCTTGTAAAGGTTCGCATGTGAAGATTTCTGCTCGCGATTATCAGGTTCGCCGTGTGGCTGTCGCATGCGCTCAGAAGAGTGCAATTTAGCTTGTAACTGCTGTGTTGTACGCGTCGATCTATCGACAAAATCTGCGTGCAGCTACCGCTGTCCGTAGAACGAAAATTAAACAGTACTACAGTACTGTACACTGTACTGTACACTGCACTGCTTCTTCGTACACAACTCCTGTATCGTACTGAAGACACCGTACACGTCCGCCCACGATCAAATCGGCGATTCAGGTATGAGGTTACAGTGGCTGCAGAGGTAAGAATGGCGGAGGTCCCGAATTCTTTGGCTCTGCTATGAACTCGGCGGCGGCTTCCCAGCCGGCTCCGGCTAAAAAGCTAGACAGCGCCGACATCACGACGACGGTGGCAACCTCAGTGGCATCCGAAAGGGCGAAAGAGGTTGCGTCAGCGGCGGTGTCAGAAACGGTGTCGGCTATGCTCGACAGCGCGACCACGATGGCAGTAGCCGCCGTCGAGAGGCCCGTGCAGCAGGTGCTGGCCCCAGCAACAACTTCGACACCCTCGGGTGACGAAACAGCCGTCGTCCCGCCACCGCTCTCCGACGCTCCCGAATTGTCGACGGACCGTGTCATGAGCAGCATCGAGCTGTCCGGACGTGATCGCGAAGACGAAGAGAGTTTTGAGAGCCAAGAAGAGGGGGCGTTGAAGCCTCCGGCAGAAGCTCTGCTCTCTTCTATCCCACAGCAGCTGAGAAATGACAGCGATACTCCTGTACAGGCCCCGAACAGGAGCAGGACGAGCCGGGGAGATGATGACGATGCGGTGGTGATCCCCGTCGTAGATCGTCCCATTAATAACGATGTCAACAAATGTGATGACACGGAGGGAGCCCAACCGGAGAAGTATGAAAGCGAAGGCATGCGCGATAAACAAGGAGGTGGCGCGCGCGAGGAAGACACGCAAGGGGTCGGCGACGGGAAAGTGCAAGACGACAGCACAGAGAGACACGGAGGAAGAGATAACAAGGTAGACAACACGGAGGAAATCGGGTCGTCAGAGGATGGCGATGGCCGGACGTTGCATCATTCCGGGCCCGAAGACGGAGCCACTGTCTTGGTGTCGGGAACGAGAAAGGGTGCGGTCGTACAGGTGAAGCAAACAGTCGTACGGGGGACAGGTATGGACGCAACACTAGCAGGAAGGTGGTCCCGTTTCAAGTAGCTCCAGGAGCTCCCTTTTCCGGTTCGATCTGTAGACCTTAACCGTACCCCTTCTCATCCCACCGGGTTGGCAGGTTGTCGAAAGATTGCACCCGTCGTACCAGCTGATCGTCTCGGTGAGCGTGGCTGCGAGCGCTCTGTCGTCGGCGGAGCGGAATGGCAAGCTTGATGGAAGCGAGAGCAACCACCATCCATCAAAGAGAACTGAAACCTCCGAGGAAGGAGACAACCCGGCAAACGAGTGCGGCAAAGCTACCGTAACGGCCAGTCTCTCCCTCGGAAAGTCAGAGATAAAGGGAGCTCTTGAGAGGTATGGACATGGCGTCTGTAGTGCAGAACAGATGGGCCCCGCAATTAAAAGGCTCACGCCGACCCAAAGAACAAGCTTTTCCCGTTAAGGCCACACCTCGGCGTGTGGGCCCTGCACTGTTCCTACATTGTATCCTATGCTACACGGCACCAAATGTAAACAAACCAATTAACCTCGACCCTTCATACATTGATATACATTTTTACTTCAGGCCCATCTGTATGTTCTACTGCTCGACGATACAAGTGAAGAAAAAAGACAGCCGCCAGAAAAAAAATGGAAATCAATCAGAGCTTGGCTCGTTATCCATCCGCACGAAGCTTGATATTCGCGAAATATTTTTTTATTGTCGAGCCGTTGGAATCTCCCTCGTATTCTACACCAATGGCGAAGAAGGCAGTGCACAAATTGGGATATGCAGAATCAGTGGACCGCCCAATTAACATCCGGTTGCATAGGTGCACGAATGTATGTATGCGAGTACTCTTCCCGGCGTTTGCTGGTAACTTTGGAAATTTTGTATTCGAACGTTCGCGTACGCCAGGCTACCTGTCGCCGCGATCTCTTTGCAAAGGCGCCCCTGGGTATTACGAAACGCCCTTTACCGACAGCAGTAATATTGCGATGGAAATGGAACCCTAATCGACACAAAAGTAATTTGGCTGAGGTTTGCAACCGATGCCCTCGCTCTTTTGTGTTTTTTGGGGGTGCGGGGGTTCAGCTGGGTCCATTCATCCGTGTTTCCCGCTGACGGGGGTGGCAGCGCGTCCCAACATCCATCGGGAGCGACAGGCAAGGAAGCAACGAGTTCAACATTAGGTACTGCCAGAACTGTGGCTGTGACATCATCTACGGCAGCAGGCGCAGCGGCAGCAGATGCATCAGCAGATGCTGATGCAGGCTTGCGTAGGTGGATAACCACCGGGCGTCCACCACGACGTGAACATCTGGTGATCTGGCTGCTGCGGAGGCTCGAGATCGTCCCGGTAGCGGTCGAGGGAGGGAAGCCAAGCGCTGCAAACGAGGATGAACAGCTGGACGATGATGGGGAAAGCGGAAAGAGGTGGGCGCTTAAGATATCGAACCGTGAAGTCAACACGAGCGAAAAGGATAACGGTGCCGACGACGGCGAAGACAACAACCACGACGGTGCCAAGGGTGTACCTGTGAGAAGCACCGCCAGGCGTGGCAGCAGCCGATCTGGCGGTGGTGACAAGAGAGGGTGGGGCCAACAGTATGGCGGCCAGGCAGACGCGAAGGAAGGACAAGGCGAGGACTCCTCGCCATCGAACGCGGCTGTTCGTGCTGTTGTCGACGGGACAGCAGCGCCACCGATCGCCGCCTGGGAATCCGCCGGGATGGGTGGGGGAGGAGGGAATGAGGAGCCACTGTGGCATTGGTGGGACGATGCAGACCCGTGGTCGAGAGGCCCCAGATCGTACGTGACAGCAGCAAGCACATCCACCGACCGTGGGCCGTCAAGATCAGGGTCAGGTCCGCCCCCGCCGGCTTACCAAGAAATGACCCCGCCCCCGCCCTACTCAGAGACTGTGAAACGCTATGCCGCAACGCAGCGCTCATCACCAACACCGAAGACCGGTCCTGAGGGGGACCACCAAAGAACGCCATCCTTTCGAGAGGCGGCAACAAGACATGTGCCGTCAGGCTCTGTCATATCGAGTGGCGACGCCTCCTCGTTCTCTTCCGACGGTGACGCGAGCCTTGGGCCTCCCCCGAGCTACCACTCCACAGCGGCGGGAGGAGGAACAGCCCGCTCCTCCTCGCCGTCCGCGGCGGGAGAGGAGGACGAGAAAAGCCGCTTCGCAAGGGACCTACCACCTCCTTCGTACGGGAGGTTCTACGACACTCTGTCCGGCACAGCTGCTGGACTTTCGCACCCAGAGACCAACGGTCGCGGCGAAGACGCAGGCGGCATTGATGAGTGGTGGGCTCGAGACGAAGACCAACACTTTGACCAGAACAGTCCAGACACACAGCCCGAGAAACAGCGGACAAGGCACCGAAGACACCGTTCTTCAGACGGCGGCGGTGGCGGTAGCAGTAGACTGTGGGCGTCCGGCGGTGGGGCTATTGAGAGGTCGGGGACAAACCACGGTGACCAGAGGTCGCTGAGAGGAGGAGCAGGAGCGTCCAGGGGGCGGCGGCCTCCGCACGAGGGGAGGGGAGGATGGAAGAGAAGCCCGACGGCCTCGGGTGGTAGACGACCAAAGACAACCATGGGCGTGTCGCGAGGGAAGAGTAGACATGGAACCAAGGATGGCACCTCCGGTTTGTCATTGAGGTGAGTCAGTCGACCTGGGAGGGGGGGAATATGTTAGACTGAGGCTAGCGGGAGATTGGAAACGGGTGAAGGCCTGATCGTGATGCGCGCGTTGGACAGGCTGACGACAAATGTCTTGAGCGGGAGGGAGGCGGAGGAGGAATACCCGAACATAAAACGAAACGTAGGCTGCTTCAACAGCACCTCTCGTGACGTTTGGTCAACAGCATTCCTGGAGTTGTCCGAGTGAATAGAATGAAATATTTCACGTGGCATTGCCCTCTTTAACACTTCGAATATATTGTGCTTTCAGCGGTACCGAGAGTTGGAACGACGACCGGTGGAGACTTACCCGCTACCTCCAAGCCTGCCAAAAGGAGCTCACGGAAGCAGAGTGAGTCACCGAGCCAGTCAGGACGTCAGCCATCCGATCAATCAATTCCCTCACCGAATCTCAACACGGGCATAATTTTTGTGCCTTCCAAGTTATTTCGGACAGAGTGAGCAGCTGTTCTGATACACCACGCGTTGATAATTGCGATACGAGTGGCTTCACAGGGAATATGGATGCACCCCCACACTCGTTCCTCTTCCACGAATGCAGGGAGGGCCGGCGGAGGGCAGAAGCAGCTGCGAACGCTGCCGAACGAAGGGCATGGAAAACCGCCGACGTAAGCGCAACCAACGAATGTTTTCGTGGAACCATCGTTTATCAATGCCACATCTGCCGTCTAGCCAGTTGTCAGAACAGGGTTTATGTTTTGCTAGCAAGAACGGGCTGTCTTTTTGAGGGTAACTTCCTTGGTCGGAGTAACGACCAAATCGTCAGAGCATCGGAATTATGTTGAGCTACTGCCCGGATGCGCGTTCAGCTGTTCTTCGCAAAAAGATCTAAAAGAACCAGTTGATACAAGAAAAAACTCTTCTGGCACAGACCGGCGAAGCTGCATGGAATTGCCCGTTTGCTGCCGCATATTGGCACACCTGACTACTTCTTGTTGACACGCAGTCTGTTCCATACGCTTCACACGACACCGCATCGCCACAAGAACAGTCGAGAGGCGGCGGCGACGACGATGCGGAGAAGCGGGCCTGGGCAAGAGCGGCGACGCAGCGAGTGCTAGACCTCATGCTGGTGACGGAGAGGGTTCGCCAGGAAGAGCAGAAGAGACGCGTCGCTGAGGCCAGGGCGAACAACCAGGTGCAGTGGGGGGCAAGAGGACGGGAGGGCAGCGCGAGGGTGAAAGGAGGAGGCCGTGTCGTTGTTTCCTGAGAGCCATTGCTATTCCCTCAACCTCCGATTTCGCAGACGTCTGCAGCGGCAGCAGCGGGTTCGTCTCGGAGATACAGGAATAACTCACAGCGTGAGGAGAACAAAGGTTCTGCAACTTTGCTCGAGCCGTTGGTGCTGTGTAGTGATGGGAGGGGGGAGGGGGACTGGGAAGGACCTTCAGGGTACTGCCTGAACCTCGGCCGTAGCGGTCAACAGTATCGCACCCGGCCCGTGGGTGCTGCCTCAGCTTTGTCCATTCGTCACCCCCGATGCCAGTCTTGTCCCTCCCTCCGAGTATTCGAGTGAAGTATGGCTTCAGAACGCCAAGTTACATCAATCCCTTTCAGACGTTGATCTGTTTCGACGCAACTAAGTAGTTTCGTTCGACCCCTGAGCGTGTGCCAGAAAACCGGCTTCTCGTTCGCTCACTGGTTTTCTCTCGCCAAGCTCAGGAATAGTATGATTTTGGCTACGCTTTTTTCTGCCGATGCAGGAGTGCGTTATTATTGCGTCATGTATCGCCCGTTTGTGCTTGCGTCCGCCACGTTTGGTTCCGGGTTTGCGATCATCGTGCCTGCCTTTACGCAACAATACCACAACGGACGCGCGCTCGGACCTAGAACACAGAAACAAAAATATGCAGTCTTCCGCATTCCTCGGCATACGGGCGCAACAGGTGGCTCGCTGCAAGCAGCCCTTCCGAGAGAGGAGAGGTCGGTCTCAGAAGGGGGCGTTCATCGGGCCTAGCGTGCCCCCTGCGGAGGCCACCGAGCAAAAAAAGTGCGCCAAGATGCGTGCGATGGCTTTTTGATGTAGAAGCACTGGGCTGAATGCTTTTCGTTCGATCGTGCTGGGCAAGCCTGGACGCTATTTTTCATCCCCCGACAAGACTGCACCTTGTTTCTCTACGTGGTGCATGTTTCTCCTTGTGTGCATCAGGCGTCAATAGGATCTGCTGGAAACACCTTTCGAACCGCCATAACGCGAAGGAAAAGTCGTCTGGTTTGCGGTGAAAGTGGACGGTTGTTAGCCCCGCTGTAATAGACCACAAGACACAGAGAGGCCTAATGACCAGAGGTCGGAGAGATCACGGACACGATCTCCGAACGACAGGAAAAAATGTTGGAATGGACAAGATTGAAGAAACCTATGCGTTCGGCCTAGGACATTGCAGATTGTCTACAGGAAGCATCCAGTCGTGGCCCTTTCATCCATTTCTTGCCGCAACGAATTCGAAAGGAGCCAGCAGCGCATGGAAGCGGTACTGGATGATGTCTACTGGGACGAACATGGGCGCCGGTACAGCCGCGGCGATCGCGGTATTGATGATGCCGGTGTTGGTGATGGCGCCGGCGGAGGTCACGGACACGAAAGGTCGGGAGAGATCGGCGTGGCGATAGAAACAGTGCGGTGAGTCTACGCACCGGCGAGTGTGTGCGCCGCATCCCAAATATCAACACGTTGTGCGCATGTTTCCACTGCCACTGTTTCCGCGAGCAGAAGAAGATACGTCTGCCGTTGACGCCATTACATTGCCACGCACGCAGGAGAAGGCTTCAGCAGTTCCCTTCCCTGATCTCTAACCACGAAAGGCTAGTCGACCGGCTACCCGTGAGCCAAGCGTGTTCGAGATCTGTCAACAATGGGCAAAAGTGGCGCCTAAGGGAGGTCAACTTCATCCGGGAGAGCATGCCGTGCTCTGAAAAACGCGTGCTCGTAATCAACCTGTGCTGTCCCTTATTAGTTTATCGTCCATTTCTCGGCCCTACGTCTGCTTCAGTCCTGGGTTTCCCCGCGTGCCGACAATGAACGCCGAGTCGACGGGCTTTGCTACAAACACGTTGTAGATGGAGCGGCCTTGAAACATGTCAGCGCCGTTGCCGCTTTTTCCGCACTCGGTCGCGCCAGGAGGGTGGCTGCGGCTTGTCTGGAGGAGGGAACAGACTTCGCACAGCCGTTCCGAGACATGGACGCTGATGGTATGTACTGAACGAGAATGACGGGTGGGTGCCTCTTCCTTAGGCCGACTCTAACGTGTCAACGCGACGGACGTAATTTTTTCGATTCTCCGATGTAAACGAGTGAGCCCGATACATTTCCTCCGGACCGAAGACAAGAAACGTCGAATCCAAGGGCGGGTGCGCGGAGGTAGCGTAACCCCGAACATGGGCGCTACCATGAAAGTGACAGGTTATCACCCTTGACGTCATTGGCGTTGATGGAACCGAGAGTCGCCCACGATGTAGATTTTCAACCGAGCGGCACCAGGCGTACGCCGTACAATAGTGCTTGGACATTGGTTGAGAGGTCTTCCTCGTATTACTCTTGCTTCGTTACGGAGGAAACACCCGTCGTCCGGTCCCCAACCATTTGTACATGTGTGGGAAGCTATGTTGCCTCTTACTTGCACGTGCTGTTTACATGGATGCTCTTACTGAACGCGATCAGGCGCGATTCTGTTCTCCAGGCGGCGTGTTGTGCTTGGTTGTTGACGTTGGTCTCCTGCTAGTGCGCTCTCAACTCTATTACTCTACGAAAAACGCTCTTGATTTCGGCTTCCTGTTTGCAGGAGGTGGTCGCTTGACCCTCGCGGAGATGGGTGCCGCCCTGAAAAGGGTTGGAGCGCACCTCAGCTTATCTCAGGTGACCGCATTGTTCAGGCATTTCCGCCGAGGGCGCCTCGGCTTGGACAAGGTCGATCGCGGGTGAGTAAAAGAACGAACGCACGGGACGGCAAGCGGGGCGGTAGCATTCCGTGACATCCTCATCTTTTGAAGATTCTGGACGTACTGTAGTGAATCCTCTTGCACGACGCCAGAAGTTCCCACTCACATCGAAGGAGACTACGCTTTGCGCGTTCCGATGTGCTAAAACAGCCAACGGTGCGAGTTTCTCACGTTCCAATGGCAGGTTTGACGTAGGTGTCGTGCGTGCTACAGTGCGTACACAATCCTCTGGACATTGCCCTATGAGTGCCCCTTCTTGCTCCATTTCACCGCTCGGCCTTTTCCAAGGTGAAACGTGTTTCCCGGGCGGGTCTCCTGCTGGTTCATCTTTTTTCATGCCTCGTCTTGATTTTTTCCAACCCTCGCCAGGACCCCTGTCCGGATGTTTGTTTTTTTTTTTTCTTTTTTGTCCGAGGCAGTGAGATCCTGTGGGAGTTCATCGACACAAAGCGCCTGTTGGAGCAGTGGCGGAGTGCCGGGGACATAGGTGGCGGACACCGCGCCCGAACGGCCCCTTTTCGAAAGAGGGTGAGAGCGAGCAAGCGTGAAGACTCTTGGCGGTTTCTCCTGGCGTCTAGTTCATTGTGGCCAGCGGTCCACCAACCAACCTTTCCGGAGTGGTTCTACAGTAGTAGTCCACACTACAGGCGTTCCCAGGGAAACACATCAAAAATGTTACGTCTCCTCACATGTTATTTTCATCCCACGATAGATTCAAGCCATTTTTCCCTCAACGCCGAACCGGGTTCGAGAAGGGTGTGTGACTCACTTGCTGGGTTCTATAGAGACACGAATGGGAAAGGCATCAGCGTCAAGTAGACCAGTACGGACGGATGCCAGGAGGTACTGAGCAGGAATCGGACGGGGTTTGAGAAGACGACAATATTTATGCGTCTTTTGTCAACAACAAAAGAAATTAAACAACAACTGAGGTAATTACCCATACTGTTGTGAACCGGTTTGTGTGTAGGCCACATCATCTGGTGCAGCCTCCGTACAGTATGTTGAAAGCTGCTCCACTGTGATTGGCGCAAACAGATGCAAGCTAGGGTCGTGTTCTCAAGGTAGATAGCTTGTCTCAGGGGAGAGACGTGCCAAGCACATGGTCTTTCTGTGTGGTTAATACGGGCCCAGCAGCGTATATTGGTTTGGACGCAGCGCCAAGGCACAAAATAGGAACATCCGTGTCATAACCGGGTGAAAGCGGAGCGATGTCATTCCCTCTCTGCGACAAGTCCCGAACTTTGACAATTAAGTGGGTTGCCCCAACTTCTATAGTAGATTATCCCCACACCAATTTCCCCCGTCCCCTCACGTTAGGTATGCACTGCTTCCAATGCTCACCCCCGATGATGGGAACCACTATCGCATGCATCTTCCACGGGGTACCGGTGTCTTCCATTCATTCCAAACAGGCCAACAGAGCGAGCTACAGCGGCGGCGATGACGGTCGCGGTGGTGGTGCCAGCGGCGGAACGTTAAGCCGGTACGACTTCTCCCGGGCTCTGGAAGAGCTGGGAGTGCACGTCGACGGCTGGGAAGCGGGCGCTCTCATGGACCGCTTCGGGCTGGAAAAGGATGAGGTATACCAGGCGAAGATGCGCACAGCACGAACCACGAATCATTGTCATTCCAACGAAGAGGGACGACCTCGCGCTTTTCGAGGAGCAGCATGATGCACAATGACGACCCCGAGGATTGCGGGGTCTTTTCAAAACGATAGCTCCTAATGTACGCATTCATGTGTCTACCGTTTCATTTCAAGTAAAGCGACTGATGATGATCAAGCGTGCGAGGTCCAGTGTTTTTTCTGGTGCGGGGCGATTGTAAACCTCGACTACCAGACTTGTTCTGTGCTTGGCTGGGACAAGCATCGGTTTTGCTCTTTCGCGACACTCGTCAGCTGTTTGGCGATGATGCCAACCCTGAGGACAACGAGGTCATTTCCAACAGGGAGCTTGCATTCATATTCTACGGTTACACGGAAACGTGATAGGCTGTACATTTGACTTGGATAAAAGTTGAGGGGTTTCCGGCTGCTAAAGTCGAGGTTTGGTTTGGGGGGGAGGGGATTGTGTGGAGGTGTCCTGTGAACCTAGGCTACTGTTCTTCATTCTCAGATCTCTCGGACGCATTTGAACGCCTTTTGGGTAACCTCCAGTCTTCTTGATCCACATTGCTTGTCGACCTCCTCTGTCCCTATTTGATCCATCCGGCCGCTCTTTCACCCTGTCCCCTTCAATTGTATCTCCCCGTCCCTCCGTTTAGGTCGATTGGAGGACCTTCGTATCCTTTATGCAGACCGTGGAAAGAGAGGAAGACGGCAAGGACGACGACGACAAGAACAAACGTAACCATTACGGTGGCAGAAATAAAACTGCTGTGAGGAGCGGCAAAGAAGGGCGGGCGGGGCTCCGCACCACCCTCCCCCGCGGTGGAAAAGACGAGCACAGGTTTCCACGCCAACAGCAACGCTGGGCGACCAGCGGCCTCCACCGCGGAGGAGGGCTGTTCGAGAGAGGACAAGGTATACGAACAAACTGGCAAAATCTATCAGAAGTTCTGCTCGTGCTCTAGAAATTTTGTTGACTCTGACTTCATCATTCTGACAAACAGGTAAATTCCACGAACACACCGTTCTACACTGTACATGATACAAGAATGGAGCAACTCTTGACACCGCCCGCGTAAAGCTGCACAAACTGCAGTATTTGCAATGGTTGTAAATCCAAACTACTACGACTCACCCCCGCTGAAGTATATCTTCACTTTTTCTACAAGGGAAAGCGATCACGGTGCCGAGAGCCAATCCGACACCATGCCCTAGTCTACGCCAAATCCTAGCCTGTTCATCAGAGGTTTCCATCGTTCGCTGTGATCGTGTTCATGAAAAATCCACGCCGTACGGCAGCAGGCGATGCTACCTGGAGTCACTCCATCCCTCCGGCCGAAAAGGCGACCTCGTCACCGAAAGCCAGTGCTACAGCCGGCGCCAAGCCATACACATACTGGGCATCATCCGCTCCCATTTCTGGGGGGCGCTACAACACCCCCAGCAGTGCAGACAAACAGGCTCCACTGGCAACAACGACGAGCGCCACGGCTAGAGGAGCTCCGCCGTTGGAGATGGCCAGTGCCCAGTCTCCGTCAGGTTTTGGAAAGGAAGAGGGGTGGAAGAGGTGGAGGAAAGGTGGGAGAGAGAACGGGGGGAGGCCAGTCATGGCGAACGCTGCGGAGGCGTCAAAGGTCCTGGACGAATTGCTGGAAGACGAGCGGGAGCTCGAGGCCTTCCTAGAGGAAGAGTTTGCCAGGCGGGAAAGGGCGGCGATTGGGGCGGAAGACTTCAGCCGTGGGCAAGAGGTCGGCTAGGGAACGCGAAAATAAAGAATGAGGTTGACCAGTTAGAGGGTGATTGATCTGCGTCACATCGCTAACGAGGCCGAAAGAGTAGATGAAGGGGCGCTCGAAAGTGGAAGGGTTTCCTGCAATCAGAATATATGGAATACACGACTAGATCGAAAAAACGCGGGAGCGTAAGAGAAGGACGTTGACCACCCACGCTTAGAGCCGAGGACCTCTCCCGGCCCATGTTGCACCCGGGAAGACGGGAATAGGGCTGCTTGACAGCACGCGTACGAGCAACGATAGAGTATACCTCAACAGACAGTCATTGTAGGCCTTTAGGTCCCCTTGACCATTGGTCAGAGTTTTCTTTTAATTGTGGCCGGATTCGGTGAGAATTTTTTTGAAGGTTTCCCACACCCACAGTGTTCCTGCATTCGATATCCGTGCGTTGGATCCCTTGGCTCTGATTGTATCGAGAATGTTTGAGTGAGTGCTGCATGTACCTCCTTTGAAATTTCTTTCTTGGAACGCTCCGACTAAGGTCCCGACCCCGGATTCTGAACCGGCGTATGTGTAGGTTGTCTGCTTCCTGTTTGAAAGCGGCAAGCAACTCATCAGCGTTCGGCGTGGCAGATATGCAGGAAATTTTCATGCTCACCAACATTTTCTCCCGTTAGAAGCACGAAGGGTTGGCGATATCGTTGCGCCGAAACCCGATTGGTTTCCCTTGAGTTCCCGCAGATGGGTCGTTGTAGGTGTGCCTCTATACGGTTGCTTTCGATCTCCAGCATCTCCTGCATTTCTTCGGAAAATCCCCTCTCGTAGATGCACGATGAATACATCCAAACGTTCTCGCGGTTTTGACCGTTACATAGTGGACGTTCTTTTCCCAATAAGCAGAACTTTTCGCCCTGGCATCGAAACCCAACAGTTACCCCACCAGCAAACATGCTGGGGCCCGAAGCGGCAAACCGAATTTTGCGGAGTTTCTTCAAAACGAGAAGAGATCCCATCGCCACCGCGCAACAAATCACGCCAGCGCAGAGGCGTTACAGGAAAAACGGAGACATGCGATGGCGCGAACACACCACCATATCACAACAAGGGCAGGCCTCCATGTATTTGGTTCGGTCCGAACCGCTCTGATTCGCTCGGAATAACACTGCTCTCCTGCTCGACGGTACTAGTGGGTAGAACCCAACCCAAACCGTTGTTGTTAAAGCGCCCGCCAACACCATTCGAATGCACGAAGAAACACAAATCAGAAGCAATTCAGTGCAACCTCTCATGACCCTCGTCAAATGGCTCCTTACCATACTTACAAGGATACCAGATAGGGGAAATTTCAAACACGCACACTCGGAGCCCGATCAGCTCCTGGCCAAACTTCAAGACTTGAGAGCATATCCCATGATCGAACATTCCTTCCCTCCCTAACCGCCACATTCACGCGAGTCTTGTGCTCGTGTCAGCAACGACGGTGGGGATCGAGGACGACATCTAAGACTTGCTCCAGCTGTGACCTGTCGCCCGGGGCGACCGCACGGCGCAAGTCCGTCGCCGAGCAAACCGCGAGCACCATCGACCCCACGAAAGGCGCTGCTACCGCCCTGCCGCCGCAGACGCTGCCACCGCATCTCCGGAGGGGCTCGTTGACGCTGCTAGAGCGGGGATCATGGAAGTCGCCACCGCTATGTAGCCCGCCCGACATTCACCCGACCAATGTCTTGAAGAAGAACTTTTTCGGGACCGCCGGGACGGGCACAGAGACCCCACCGGTGGAAATGAGGCCGTCCTGGCGGCCTCGACGAAACTTTTCTTCGAGATATCGGTCAGGTCAGTGTCGGCCGGTTTAGCGGTGACGGTTTGCATGATCCCCTCTCTGGCAGGTACAACGAACCCCTCCGAAGATATGATGACAGCGTTCGCAGCGAAGGCGGAGGCGGCGGCGGCGTCTTTCGTGAGGCCGATGGTCATCGCGGTACGCTCGGCGACGGTTTTGCGTCGTGTGGTCGCCCCGGTCGACAAGTTACAGCTGGGGAAAATCCAGCTGCCACCCTTGGGTACGATGTCGAGCTTCTTGGGCAGCATGAAACCTTGTCATTAAAGCATTGTAACGGGAAAACAGGAAACACGAGTTGGGCAACGTGACGATTAGCACCAAGTACGTGGTCTATTTCGCATTGATTTGAAAACTATGATTGACCGCCAGTGCCTACACTTGCGATCGGCGCTCGCTCCTTGCGGCAATTGGGACACTAACGACCGTAGCAGATCGGCCGTGACCGGCTGGTTTCGAAACCCAACCTCTTTCTTGGTTGTGAGCGTGGTGTTGTACTTGTCCATCCCACAAAATACTATACAAAGAGGCAGGCGAGTCTCTGCAAGTGCCTACGAAAATAATGGCTTGGCGGTTTTCCTCCGTGAGTCAGGTTGGGTATACAATCAAGACGGAGGGTGGGTTTCGAAACCAGCCAGTCACAGACGATATGTTTATTCCATTTGACGCAGGTGCACGTGCCGATCGCGAGTGCCGAATAAGTGGCCAATCATCGCTTTAAGCAATGGCGTAAGACTACTTCCTTGGTGCTGATAGTCACGTCACCCAATGTTTTTCGTTTTTCTCGTGTCTCCCAGGGTTTCCTCCTGAGTGCGAGAAACTCGACATCATACCCAACGACAGCCGGGTTCGCTCCAGCTGTGACCTGTCGTTCAGGGCGATGACACGGCCAAAGCCCATCGCCAAGCCAACCGCAATGACCATCGACTACACGAAAGACGCCGCCGTCACCGCCACCGCCACCGCCACCACCGCCGTGGACACGGTCATCACATCTTCGGAGGGGTTCGTCAAAGCTGGCAGAGCGGGTATCATGTAAGTCGCCACCGTCAACCCGGCCGATATTCACCCAACCAACACCTCGACGACGAATTTCTTCGGGCACGACGGGGACGGCCACATTTTTTCAGACGGTGGGGCTTCACGGGCGGCGTCTCTGTGGCCGTCCCGGCGGGTCCGAAGTAATTATTCTTCGAGATATCGGTCGGGTCGGTATCGGCCGGGTTGGCGGTGACGGCTTGCATGATCCCCTCTCTGGCAGGTACAACGAACCCCTCCGAAGATATGATGGCAGCCTCCACGACGGCGGCGGCGGCGGTGGCGGTGACGCCTTTCGTGAGACTGATTATTTATTGTGGTACGCTCGGCGACGGTCGTGTGCCGTGTGGTCGTCCTGGGCGACAGGTCACAGCTGGAGCAAATCGAGCTGCCTTCACATGAGGATGAAACCCTGTCATTAAAGCGTTGTAACGGGGAGACAGGAAATATGGTATTTGAGTTGGGCGACATGACGATCAGCACGGAGTATACCGCAAGATCCATTATACACGGTAGGTTTGATTCAAACAATGATATTCTACGAGTGCCTACACTTGCGATCGGCACTCACTCGCGCCTACGGCAATTGGGACACTTACGACAGTCGCAGATCGACTGGTTTCGAAACCAAAACCTCTGTCTTGGTTGTAAGCCCAACTTGACGCACGGAGATGAATCTCCGAGCAATTCGTACCAGTAGTTAGTATGCATGTTGAGGTTCTGTGCATTACCGTGGTGGCTGGTTACCGTACAAGAAAATTGCCCTGGTGACCAGTTGCCGTACGGAATTACCGTGGTGACCAGTTACCGTACGGAATTTACCGTGGTGACCATTGCCGTACGGAATTTACCGTGGTGGCCAGTTACCGCCCAAGAATTACTGTGCTGTGCCGTGGTGGCCGGTTAACGCCCAAAAAATACTGTAATGTTCCGTGGTTTCTGGTTAAAGCGGGAAATATACCGACATGAAAAAGCTTAACAAAGAAAGCCCTGAAATATTTGGATCATGGATGTTTTTGTTTCTTCTCATAGATTTTTTTTATTGCGGGCTTTCGGGCTAACGTATAAGTTACCCCGGTGCTTGCATTTTATCCCAGACAGTTGTCTCGACCCGGAGCGGTGCGGCCCTCCAGCTCTGGACCTTCTCCTTTCCCCTCTCTGGTGCATACCCCCACGGTGGACACCGTGTTCTCTGCTGCTGCTGCTGCAAAAAAAAAAAAAATGGATTGAAGCGCGTTCCCGCGAGCTACATCAATTCACTCATTCACTCCCACACTTTTGTTTCTTCTCTCTTTGATCTTGTGATATATCGACCATGCGCCAGCTACCAGCTGGGTGACAGAGGGTTACAGTTGAAGCGAAGACATGCGGCTTCCTGCATCGACCGTACAACTAGCTCAGCCCTACACAGAGAACCTATGACGACAGAACAGACTGCAAACCCACGCGCTGAGTGAATCCCAAGGTGAGAGGCGAGCCGCCGTACTCGAAGCTACGTGCACCAATGCCTCATTCCGCAGTCTTTGAAACCCATGAGCGGACTTGCGCTTGTGATGCATGTACCGTCCTTCTCCCCAAAACCAAACCGCTGCGACCTGTCACGTTCGTTCCGATAGCTACCTCAGGACATCGCGGCGGCTAGCTATAGGGAGATGCGTTCTTGGCTGAGCTGAGCCCCGTCAGCCGATTCCCCTTCTACGCCTAGCGCCGAGGACAGGTGATCGATGACGTCCACGCCTGCGGCATATGCCTCCGCAGACGTTGTGCCTACGAATATACGCTCGGACTATATAGCATGCCAGCATGAGGCTGCTTCTTTCACTCCTCTTGCGTGCGGGTGTTCTAGAGATATCGAGGACACTGCTGGCGCGGTGTCCCGTGGCTGTTCGGTGCATGTGCAGCGCCCAGAGCCGTCTCGCGAAGATTCCCGTACCAACGACACGAGGCCCTCCGTCGGTGTCTGCCATACCAGCCTGACGCCGGGTTTGACAGAGGCGTATATGCGGCATCAGACGCACGGGAGCACACGGGTGTTGGCTAATTTGGTCGGAGACACAACCGGCCGACGGTATCCCCCTTTCGGGACAATCGAACACCAACCGAAAGGACGTGAAGAGCAACAAGATCACGACGCCATTGGTCGACGGGCAACAGGGGAAACTTGACGTGCTCCCAAAGGACACCGAGCAAAGCGATTGTTATTAAACGTGTTTTTTTTCAACGCGTCGTCGGACGCACGCAAGAGCGCGCGTGGCAGGTTCTCCCTTGGAAAGCTAGTGTACAAAGGTATCTGCATTACTGAGCATGTTTCACTTCCTTTGCGTCAAGAAAAGGGGCATACTGTAGCATTGCGATGCTGGCTTGGCGGCATGAGATCACGCTCACTGCTCGTATCGCACGGTATCGTCCCGTCGATATATGTAGCTGTCTGTGGGAACAAGCGCGGGAGCTTCGCCAAGTTCCGCTGTCCCTCGCTACGCCCGGAGTCGACGAGATACGATATCCCCACGAAAGTTTCTTCGCGTACTGCATCATACAAGTATTCGATCTGCCATTACCAGGCAGATCAAACGGCCGCTTGCCAACGTATCAACAGTCCACATGCTCAAAACGCTACGGAAACGCGTCGTCTCGAACTTCGCGCAATAAATAGTAGATATCGCCGTGAAACAAGTTCCTAAACTCAACTCAAACTCAATCGAGTGGGCTGTCAGTCTGGTGCCTCGTGCGGTTTCGAATGCTGCCGTTGATGTGACCGCTGCTGCTGATGATGACTTCGCTGCCGCTGTGGCTGGTGTTGGTGCTTTTCTTCTTGCTGCTCTTGTGGTGCTCCTTCGTCCCCGTTCTCTTCGAACCACACCAGCACCACGCTAACGTTGTCCACAGATCCTTGGTCTAGCGCCAGCTTGGTCAGCTCCCTCGCGGCTCCGGACAGATCTCCGTTTTTCTCGGAAAGGTACAACCGAACGAAGTCCACCGCCTCCTGTTAGGCGAGAAAAGGGTTAATCGATATTTAATAATTCGGCGGCAGTTGTACCTGAGGCACTGCAGGATGTGGTACGTCTCTAGATGGAAATTTAAGCCCAAAATATAGCCCTAGTTAAACGCACGCCTAAATTTTCCCGCCACATCCAAGAAAGTGTGCGTATTGAGGGACGACGAGCACGAAAACATTGAGTTACCTGATCTTCGACGACATCCCACAGACCGTCGGTGGCGAGTATCACGAACTCCATCGACCCGCCTCCGCCACCGCCACCGCCACCGGATGGCAAGGTGGAGGAACCCACGCGTTCTGATCTCAGCTCGGGAGTAGCGGTCAACCCTGGCGATTTCCCTTCCTGTGGGGCACGTTCGTGTGCGCGGTTAACGTTGCGTTACTCTATGTAATGCTTTCAACTCTCAGAAGACACAACCGAAGGAATCTTCTGGTTATGGCTTCGTGTACCGAGGTTGACGTACAAGCAAGCAACACCAACGAAAGGCACAGCATCATCTCCACTACAACGAAAAATACATTTTTTTTGGCTGTACGACGTGCACAGCTTGGAATGAAGGTACCCTGCGATATGCGTAGGTCGACGTCAAAACGTGTTGCCCACCACAGAGTAGGTACCGCCGTGTGAACATGAAATCAGATTTTCAAAACGTTTGTTGGCAGGAGTGTGCAAGGATGGACGCCAGCGGTCCGGCTGCGGTTGAAAGGGAGACTTACGCGTGAATGGAAGGTTTTGCGAGATTCCTCGCATGGCTTTCCTAAATGCGGTGAACGTAGCTGTCCGCGTTCACAAACACCGCCTCATCGCCCTTCGAACCCCGCTGGTAAGTGTTCGGGCCATGTCGTCTCGAGGCTTACCTTGTGCTGCACATCGCCAAACGACCTCGAAACGGCCAACACCCCGTTGATGCGGTCGTTCGTGACGAAACCTCCGCTGGCCTAGGATCCGAGGGAGGGAGCCGGTGCACAGCGTCACAGCCAGGAATTTTGTTATTCACCCGCTTGGTGAGTGATGATTCAAGAGCGCAACATCTCGATTTTTGCGACAGAACCGCCTGCCTCAACAAGCACCGCTAATGCAACTACGACGACTCCTACTACTACTAATACTACTATATACTACTATATACTACTACGACGACCGCGACAGCTGTCGTTAGCTTCCAGGGAAACGGCGCCGCCTGCATGCAAGTCCACCGTTTTTGTGCACCCCGGGTCATAACCACGGAGCAACTTGGTGAACCTACGCGGGGGGTGTTGGATACCCTCTAAGTTCCTCTTGCGCATCTGACGGAGAGAAGCCATCCAAAAACGATTTTTTCTTGTTTGACCGACGAGGGTGGAGGGGTTCCCGTTTGGAGAGCTCTCGGCCTCGCGTTGCGTAGGCTCGTCCCCACTCACCACTACTCGTGCCCTCTCGTCCGGGCGGCTCAGGCGGTGGTCGCTCGAGAGCCGCGCCGCCACCCCGCCCCCGCAGCTGGCGACGCACCGCGAGTCCCCGACGTTGGCTACGAGAATAGAGCGAGAACGCCCGTCGAACACGACTACCAGGGCCGTCGACCCGCTCGTGTCGCCTTCCTGCAATACCGACCGTTTCGCCGTCGGTGGTCTTTTTCAGAGTTGATGTGGAGACGTTCGGCTGTCCTGGTACAACTAACGGGGGCTGGCTATCCATTGAGAAACAAACGCGATTTGTTTTTGGGATGGAGTGAATGGTTGTCAAAACTCATGTTGGTTGTAAAAACACACACACACTTCCAAGCTTCGACTTCTCCTCGGGACGATGACTTTCGTCCCGGTGGCAGACGTTCTCGAATCTGTCAGCCAGTGGACAGACTCACCTCTGCACACAGAGGCGAACACGTCAAGACTACAAGCCCTGTAAAACTGATCAATCGGCCAAGGCGGCCAACGCTGCTGGAAGAAACACGCACCCCGTCACCGACGCATAACACGTAACATACGTACCTTTTCCTGGCGCGCACAAAGATCCTTGTCGAAGCAGTTGAAGGCCTGCACCACGGCCTGTTGTAAAACAATGAGGTTGTTAAAAACGTCCGTCAGCACATTCCGGCATAACGGCCGCGCGGATGGGGGCAGTATCGCGACCACCAGCCTTTACTGCCATAGCAGCGTGAAAAAAACGGTTTGAAGTGAGACGAGAACAGGCTCCAGACACCGATACTGCAAATGGCTACCAAGACGTCGACGCGCACGGTGAAACCATAGCCGCATCCAACAGAGGGAGATCGTCCTTCGGTCTACCACGTCCTACGGAGGCATGCGCACCTCCACGACCATCGCACGTTGCGTTGCATGGAAAGGAACCCGTCACTGCCTGCCGTTTCGAACCGTTCGCCGAAACCAATCTTTAGCAGATGCAAGGGTTCCTTTCTGACAACTACGCCGCTCCCCGTCCCACTCCACCCTTTCCGTTAGAAGAAACCTTGCGCGTGGCCTACAAACCTTGTCGGGGGCCTGGTGAAAGGTTGGTTGCTTGGCCACGGCAACGTGCAGGCCGGCGCGGAGCGCTTCCGAGGACATCTGTCCGTTGTGGCCATCGAAAACTCCGAAAAGACCGAAGTGTTGATACAGGTACTCCCTGTCCACCTTGTTCGTGGTGATGGATATATTGCACGCGAAAAACAACAATTTTTGTCTAGAGGGGCGCGGGGGGGTGGCCTTTTTTGGTGGCGCCGAACGCGCGCGCACACCTTTCATGTACATTACAACCATGCGCGATCCCCGAACGGGTGAGTCGAGGAGCGCTTAGGAGAGGTTGGGGTGCCTGAGGGTTGAGCTCCGCACTCAGACTACAACACGACAAGGACATTCAACCGTTAAACATTTCCACGAATTCTCTCAGGTTTCGTATGATTTTTGAATGTCCTGTCGTCGTGCAGCTTGAGGCGACCGTTTGGCTGTCTAGTTCAACTAATTATTGTCTCACGCCGGCATATTTCTCGTCACGGCCGCGAGTGGTTTTGGTCAACTCACCTTCCCGGCGACGGCCGTCGCGAGGTCCGCCGCCACCGTTGCCCTGTCCTCCTGGCTCGCCCGCTTCCCCTGCCGCTGCGAGACCGCCGCCACTAGGCCAAGTCGCGGATTGCAGCGGCTCTCCCCCGGCGCCTGGGACGGCGGCGGCGAACCAGTCGCGGCGGGCCCCCTGGCAGAAGACCGCACCTTCACGCCGCGCAGGCTCAAGTCTCTCAAAGGGCGGACGCTGCCGGAAGTACTTGTAGTGCGTGACCGGTCGTCGCCGTCGCCGCCGCCGCCGCTGCCGGTGCCGGTGCCGCCCGGCCCTGCGTGTCTTGATGCGGCGCCAACGCCGCGGTCCCCTCTGTACGGCGGCTGCCCACGAATTGTGGAGGTGGACGATCATAGGCCGGCCGGCGTGTCAAGGAAGGAGAACGCGGCTGAAAGATTAGGTAGCTTAGAGCGTGGTTAAACCAAAACAGAGACGAGTGGCACAACACTACCCCTTGTAAGCATAGAAGGGATACTGTAGCCCCACCCTGCCTCTCGAGGACGCGTGGCCAATGGTCTAACCGGTAAGGCATGCAAAACATAAGAGTACGCCCCCCTGCATGTAGTCGTTTTGGCCATTGCTTGATCACCGGTGTTTCTCACGTGCTGTGTTTATTTCAGGTACTTATTAACTTCCGAGTTGTAGCACGATACCGATTTTTTCAATAAGCAAATTGGGCTGTTCGCACTAAATATCAACGCCAACGTATGCCGTCCCTTGTCGCCTCTTCTCACACACGCCCCGCCCCCCATTGCAACGTCATTCGGCGCCACACACACCCACCAAGTCGTTGGCGTCGACTCCGCTGCCATATACGATCGTCTACCTTCTTGGATGCGTTGCGTTGTCGTACAGTACATGGTTTTGCTCTCGCGTACGCAGGGTGTTGATGCGCCCGAGTTGGGACCACGTGCTAGCTGCAGCTTCCGACGGCAGACCGAGATCACTATGGCCATCACCAACGACAACACCAAAAAATTAGAGAAATCACCTGCGCCGCGAGCGTGTCCATCACTGCGTCGAACTTCTCGCTGCTCCGCCTCTTCGCGCTAGGACGCCTCCCGCCTGCCTGATGCTGAAGCATCGGGCCACCGCCCCGCACCCCCACCCCCCCACCCCTGCCGCGACCCCGCGCGCTGCTGCTGCTGCCGCCGCCCCTGTGCTGTCCGACCGACGGCCTCGGCTCTCCACGCCCGGCTTCCGCCGCCGAGCTCGTCGCCCGCGAACCGGACGATGGGGACATGGCCGTCGCCGACCGGGAGGATGCCGCGGACACGGTGCCGCTGCCATCGTAGAGGGTGTCCGGGTTGTCTTCCGACGAGAAGTCGTCGCTGTCGTCGTCGTCGTCTTCGTCGGTGTTGTCGAAAAACGAGTCCCCGGAGGGCGCCGGCGCCGTTACTTCTTGGCCGCGCGCGTGTTGCTGTTGCTTGTGTGGTTGGTGCTGCTGCGACGCCGCTGCCGAGCGCGGGGGCAAGGACGAGGGCGGCGACGGTGTCGCGCCCGTTGCTGTGGCTGCCTTGGGAGTGTTCGTCGTCGAGGAGAGGTAGGGTTTTTCTGTGGTGGGGTTTGGCGGCCTTCCGGCTGAGCCTTAAGCCACGACAGGTGCCCATCGTTGGTGTATGTTATTGTCCAGGGGATGCAGGAACAGTCGGAGGCGTCAGAGGGGAATAGGGGAGAAAAATGAGTGTAAGGCGCGTGGAAAAAGAGACGGGGCAGTAGGCGGAGGGATCAAGACGGCAATTCTCTCACCAGAATACGGAATCGTGCCAGGTAGTACAAGCTACAATCTCGACCGTGATTTTTTTTGCGGGGGGGGTATTCGTCCAAATCGCTTCTGCGATCACCTTAACGTCTGTGGTGGTACTGAGCCTCAAACAGAGCCAGTGGGTAACGGGCGTTACCGATGCCAATGTCGATGCCGGACCGGACAACGAAAAATAGGAGAGACGAAAGACGATCGACGTACGTACTACAGAGTACGGAGGGCGACCAGCACGTGCATTTTTTCTGAAAGCCTTTTGCCGATTGGCAGTCGTAGATGCCAGTATTTCGATTTTCTAATGGCGGCACTGGCACTCTCTCTCCCTCCCTCCCTCTCTCTCTCTCTCTCTCTCTCTCTCTCTCTCTCTCTCTCTCTCTCTCTCTCTCTCTCTCTCTCTCTCTCTCCCTCTCGGCGTTCTCTCGATCATCGTTTCTATGATTGCATCCCTCACAAGACGAGAAATATCTTACAGGATGTTCACGTGCCTCTAATAGGCCTACAGCCCTCCACGTGACATTCCATCCATGTGTTTCCATTTGTTGATCATTCGTTGTGTCGTTGCGGAATCGATTCTCTCTTCGTGCTGATTGAAACCACAAAGAACAACAAACGGAGAAAATACACTGCGTGCTCGTGCTGCCGGCAACGGCGTATACAAGCATACACAAACAACGCGCTCATCCGCGCCCATCCCCATCAGAGCCAGGCGAAACCGAAGCACACACGCACGCGCACGCCTTACCGTTCTGAGCGGCGGGGGGCTGCCGCGGCCGAGCCTCGCCAGCGGGCGAAGCGATGGCCGCTCCCCGAAACTTGGGATCGGAGGCGTTTTCTTCTATTTTCTTCTTGAACGAGCGGAACTTCCAGGACTGGCCCGAGGCAACAGTGTGCGCAAAGGTTTCGAGAGAGAAAGAGAGATACGCGGAGAGAGACACAGAGAGACAGAGACAGAGACAGACAGACAGACAGACAGACAGACAGACAGACAGACAGACAAAGAGATGGAGCCTGGAATGGTGTCATGACTGGCGCGGTAAAGACAGTCAAGACTGAATGTCGCGCGGCGGTGGCTCGTCCGGGGTGAGAGAAATCTTCCATTGAAACGAAAGGGGGGACCCCTGCCATTCATGAACCGTTTAGCCGGGAGACCAGGGTATCCCTGGATTGGCTTAAAACGCTTCCACAAACACCAGCATGAAAATGTATTTTGGAGAGGGCGGGCGGCCGGACGGGCCGACCGGAGCTGCAGACAGTAGGGTCTCCGAACTAAAGGCTAGGCTTGCGCCAAGGGTTTCCTGGCAAAGTCCCAGCACATGGTGTCGACGAAACAGCTCGTCACAGCTTAGATTGGGGTTTCATCTCTGCTTGGTTTCTCCTGAGGGTAAGGGTCGAACCTCGATACGCACGCCTGTACCGGTTTTCCACTTGGAAGAACCGGCTGTTCAAACATCATCGCATGGTCCAGCGGTTCTGGACGAGAGAGGGAAACACTTTTCTGGACTGGAGAACGTTTCCGTGGTCTCTTCGAGCACAGGACTTTATCGACCATACTCTAGTCGAGAGACGGTTATCAACGAGGCGAAGGGCGAGGAAAGAAACCGTACGACCATGAAGAGGGACGGGGGGGCACGTGAACACCGCCGTGTTGTCTATACCCACCCACCTCTTCAGTCTCGCTGAGGTGCCCCCTGCTGCTGCTGTTGCCGCTGCTACCGCCGCTGTTTCTGCCTCCACCCCCTTCTCCACGGCGTTCTCCTCCAATCCCAGCTCCTCCTGAGGGTGAGATGGCCGGAGCAGGGGAGTTCCCCTCGCTTCCACCGGCTAGAGCAGGCGAGGTTGTCGTTGACGTCGCTGCCGACTCCTCCAAAATGGGCGGCGTCGAAGAGTTTGCGGCAGTTGTACCTCTGCGACATACGACCAGACATCATCGCCCGACATGAGAATGATGCTGCAAAAAAAGTCGTTAGGGGGTCAGTACTCCTGACAGAATGAGCCCCGAACCATAGCGACGTAAAACTAGCGTCTTATGTTGTACGGAGGGCGGCCTATGTGCGAATGACGGCAAATGATGGAACAAAACAGACGGCAACCGACAAAGAACGCCATGCTGGGCGTACACGAAATGATCCACGAATCCTATCGATTTAGACTCCTGCCCCTCAAAGACTTGTCTAGCTGCTCCAACCTACCGGTCTCGTGCTATTGGTCACTTGGCTTCAGCTCAATCCCTGCCGTCGTTCGATGAGGTGCGGCGAGAATACTCTCACAGACGTGGACCAAATCCACGATCAGAAACACAAACTACCGAGTTGTGCTTGCCTCCGACACCCCCTCCCTGCCGACGCCTCTGTCATCCTTCCTTTGAAAATTTCCGCGCCAAAAAAAAAACAAAATACCTCTGCTGCTTGACGGGTGACGAGCCACCTCCGGCAGCAGACCCAGGCCCAGAGTTCCCGCCCGTGGTGATGCCCTGATTGATGCTTTTGTGTACCTCGTCGTCGCTGACCTTGATGGCCCGATAGCCCTGCTCGGTTAGGGGCAGGAAGGACAGAGAGGGCGGGGGTCGCAAGCCCAGGCCTGCCCCACCGCCGCCTCCGTTCGCGGGGCCGCCATTGCTGCTGATATTGTTTCTATTCCGAGGGATGCCGGTTGTGTTGCCGCCGGTATCGCCGCCTCCCGGGATGTTGGGAGAAGCAGCAGGAGGCATGCCGTGAGAGGACGGATTGAGGGCGGCGGCGGCGGTGCCGGTGGTGACGTTGGTGCGGACACCGCCCGCCGTGGTGGTGCGAACGGGGCCGTAGTCTCCCTGCTGGAGCCAGCGATCTGCAAGCACCTGGATTGTATGAAACGGCAATTGGAGACACGAAACCGTAAGTTTGTGGCTCGTGATGCGTTCGACTTACGGGTTATATGTTGCTCATAGACCCACAACACATCTATGCACAGGGCCTACTGTACATAAAATACAGAGCATGCGTACCTGGTCAAGGATGATCCGTTTCGCCGGATCCTTCTCCATCATGGCCCTCAGCAGCCTCCGAAGGCCGGGCGACATGTTCACCTCCGGAGGAAAGTCCAGCGGGTCGTTCTGGATCTTTTCGTAGAGCACCATCACCTAAACACAATTCCACCGCGAGTCGGTCAGGACAAGGAGCATTTTATTCTCCTTGCATCCGCATTAGACACACCTTGACATAAACGCGCTAGGAAACTCTCTGGGTACACCAGCGTGCTGGTCCCTCACACGAACGGACTACAACTTATCAGCGGCCCGTGTGTTATGTTTGAAAAGAGGATATGTATTCGGCGACACTTCCCCCCACAGATACACGGGATGCTTTGGTTGGCCGCCGTATTCTCGGCGACTACTGCCTCCGAACAGCTCCAGGAACACGCTACACACAGACACACCTGGTTGGCCATGAAAGGTGGCTTCCCGCAGCGGATCATGTACATGGTCGCCCCCAGCGCCCACACGTCGGCCAGCTGGCCAGAGTATCCCTCCCCGCAGCAAAGCTCGGGGGACATGAACGTCGGCGTCCCGGCCTTGCACGTGTACGTAGTCGTTAGGTTTCGGTTAGTTTGTAGCTGCAGCATTGTTCGTGTCGATTGCGTAGAATCTCGTCATGTGCAACAGCGCGTTGCTGCGTGAGGCCTTGAACGTGCGAGTGGATGTTGTGTACCCCTTGCATCAAGCTTCCCCCGGCCCAACAACGGCTAAGAGTTCGTGAGCAACAACACGCTTTCTCCCGCGTTGCGGGGCCGTCTGACCGATACAAAAAATCGCATTGCACCTGCTCCTGTAGCCGCTGGTTGGATCCCTGCACGAACTTGCTGATGCCAAAATCGGCGATCTTGGCGACGTTGTCCGACCCAACCTGTTATACAAACGCACCCCTCACGTTGATCAATAGTGAAGCTGCCTTGACAACGGACATAGCGTTGGAAGAGCCAGCAAAAGCAGAACTATGACAACAACGACAATGACGGCATCACCGTCAACAACAGCAGACAACAACAACAAGTAGAAACAGGTTTGGGATGTAGACGAGCGGCGTTCACGTTCAACACCGAGCACATCAACGCTGCTTTGATGGGTTGAAAAAGCGTGATCTAATCCACCTGGCGTATCATCAGGCTATACTTTGGTTGCATCAGTTATTCATGTCGAAAAATTGAACGGAATTTTCCAAGGACCGAAAATATCCACGCCGGTTGGGAGGGCTAAATGCACACACTTCGCAAGTCTGAAACGCATATGAACGCAATCCGTGCCTCCGAAAACGGGGGGTCTAAGGCCTACCAGTAAGTTCTGGGGCTTGATGTCTCCATGGACGATGTTCTGCAGGTGGAGAAAGCTGAGTCCGTGCACAATCTGCGGTTGTTTTTTGGGTTTTCCACGAAGTGTGATCGAACGACATGTGAACAGCGTACTCGTCATGAGAGAATCGTGTTCAGATGGACAGGCAAGGTGGACGGACGGACAGAAAGGCCAAGAAAAGGACACGAGAAAAGACGTAACGCAGCATGCCTCCGTTACAAAAGAGCAATAGATGCAGAAAACGCTTTTTTCGTTTTTTTGCACGAAAACGCGCACCGAAAGACGGCCGAGATTTGGAGAGAAGAGCGTGTGCGAGCAATTCGTACAACATTTGGCAAGGAAGGCAGAACACGCGGGCTTGCGTGTTCTCATCTATCAGTGGTTCAGTGACGTCTTCGCATACGAGTGTTGGTGAGCGCGAAAACCAGCGCATTCTTCATACGCCGCCGATCGACGCTGCGCGCGCGCGGGGTGCGTGGTTTCCTACCTGTCGCATGATGTACCACACGTCGGTATCGTTCATTGGGTCGCAAGTAACCGTCCTCGTGTCGCCGTTCAGGATGTTCATGAGGTCCCCCTTTTTGCAGTACTCGAGCACCAGGTACAGTTTGTTCACCTTTTTTCACGGACGGGCAGGCCCCAAAGGGCACAAACGCCCCCGTAACCGAGCACGGCGATGAACGGCAAGTACGCAGCGAGAAATATGCGTTCACTGGTTAGGCCGGGTTGTAAACAGAAGTTACCCTCTACTCACACCTCCAAGACTTGCTGTGAAACTAAACATTTCCTGTAAACGCTCCTCGATTTCATCGATACTTTGTTTCATGAGATACATCGGTCTTCCGTGCTCACGTGCACTTTTTTCGTCGATCATTTTGGTCCGTTCGCTATCCACTCGTTTCGCTCCATAGACTGTACGTTTAATCGTTTCTTTCGCTTGTTGAGATATTGCAAAAAAAATGCGCGTTGGTCTTATCCCCAGTCAAGTTCGTGTTACCTTAGGGTCGTCCATGACCTCATACAGCCGCAAGACGTTGGGGTGGTGGACCTTCTTCATGATGGCGATCTCCCTCTTGATGCTGTCCATGAAGGTTTCTTCCTTGCCCACCTGAAAGAAGGAGGTCATGTTTGGCGTTGATGCCACGGGATGATCGCATATTATTTGCTGCTGTTGCTGATACTGTTGGAACTGCTGCTGATGCTAATGCCACTGTTGCTGTCCTTGTCGGCGGTGATACTACTGGCATTGTTCACATGCGCAGCGTGGCTGCACAGTGCCGGGTTTGAATGGTCACGTTCTTGGCTGACGTGACTACGTCGCACTACCAATTTTTCTCACTCTCATTATTTTCTCAGTCGTTCTTCTGACCTGTCTCTTCTTGAGGAAATCCTTGTTCATGATCTTCACGGCGTACAGCGTGTTGGACGTCTTTTCTTTCGCTAGTCGCACCTTTACAAGCGGAAAGGAGAAGCGGGGCAAGAAAGGAGTGAGTGGTACAGGCCTCGATTCTCTTTTTGGGCGACGAGAGAGAGAGAGAGAGAGAGAGAGAGAGAGAGAGAGAGAGAGAGAGAGAGAGAGAGAGAGTTGTAGCATAAGCGTGACGTGACGGTGCCCTGGGCAAACGTTCTGACAGTGGGGTGAGTTTGATGGCTGGGTTGACTTTCTTCTCCCTTCTACACACGGCCCTCCAATACATCACAGCGGAGAAAGGTGCGTGAATGCCACCTTGCGCTCACCGGCGGTAGAAGACGAGCCTAGAGCAGTGCAGTGTCCTTGATTCAAACACACCATGTTAACGGATGAACACATGCTCGCAAGCGTCTAAAAAGCTCTAGGGTCGATACCCAACACCAACATGTTACCTCAGGGGGATGCCGTGAAAGGCTTGTGTTTGTTCCTGCACGCGATCAAGCACAGGAGTCCGTGGCCCGCCAAAACAAAAGCATTTTACGACAAACTGCTCCGAAGGCACATACATGTAGCACGATTGCGCCACCAGCCACGTGCTCTCGCAGAGCACTCTCGTTGCACCCACCTCGGCGTAGCTGCCCGTGCCCAGCGGCTCCAGAAGGATGTAGTTGTTGACGATGTATCGGTTCTTGAGCCAGCTGCCCCCCACGGGCGTGGGGTGCTCCAACTGCTCCTGCTGCGGGAGCTGCGCCTTCTTGCGGGTGATGTTGGCCGTGTCCTTCACCGCCTACTACCCGTGCACCCGTTCGTACACAGAACCATGTCCGGAATCATCCCGCGCACGGTATTGGGGGGTACGATGTAATAGTCGTGGGGTTTGCAGATGTGGATTGATGCGGGACGATGTGCCGCACGTACGTGTTGATTTAGTGGTCAACGTTGTGGCCTGCGTGGGCGAGCACGCCTTGGTTTGCCGGGCGCCACGCGCGACGCTATCCGAACCAGAACATGGCGGTAGCGTCAGCGAGGAAAATCGAGCTCGTACCCCTTCATTCTTTGTTTACGGCCTACCTGCTGCGACCCACTAGTCTTTTCGCGAATACTCACGGCGATTGAACTCTCTCGAATATTCAGGAGGCTTAACCTTCGGAGAGGCGCAATTTGCTCACGAAGGCTATGCATGTGCCGAATGCTGTCTACGGGCCACGCCGACCCAACCTCGTCTCCTCAGCAGGACGCGAATGCTGCTCAGGCATACACATTCGGTTCACTCCTCCTGCAAATAGGAGTAGAGTGACTGCCCTGCTTGCCGCAGCCGGAAATGGTTTCACACATAAAAACAATCCCACGCGTCTGTATGCTGGACCATACGTGGATGCTCTTAATCCTCAGCGGGGAGTAGCACAGGTCTTGTGGAGGACTTTACCTCCTTCTCCTTCGGCAACGCCGTGGGAGCCGCCGCCCCAGCCCCAGGCACCGCCGTCGCCGGCACCGACGCGGCCATCTCTCCGGACCTCGATGCTGCTCCGCTGCGGGTCGACCTGTTCGCACCGGCCGTAGAGGCGCCAGGGCTGCCGCTTGCCGGCCTCGCCGATCCCCCGGCGGCCTTCGCTATAGTGCCTGCCAGCACACGAGAGACGAGGGTACGGGGACTGAGCCGAGAGAAGGGTGGTGGGTTATTTGCACCCGCTGACTGGCTGACAGAAAGAGCCGCGCAACCATGGGGCACGTGTGGTGCCCATCGAGAGTCGATGTCGTCCTTCGGCGTCAACGCGGGCACTCGAGAGAAGGATGTACGAGAACTCCCGTGAACCTAGAAAAGTTAGACTAAGCCCTTCGAGGAAACTGATTCGACGTTGTTTTAGACGTCGAGGTTTCCTAGAGGACCTTGTCGGTAGGAGGAGTTGAGACTGCCATGCGTTGCAGGAGCACCACATGCAATCAGATTGGTCGAATACGACTTGGACCTAAAGGAGGCCGGTTCCGTAACGGAGAGGCCCACCCCCATTCCTCCCCAGGCACCCTCGAGACTAGTGCAGGACATCATCACAACTCGCAACCGCACCCCCAAACACTACGTGCGAGCGGCAAAGTCATGCACCTTCGGACGCCGTCGTCGCCGAGGCCGAAGCAGCCGCCGCCGCCGTCACCGGTCTAACTCCTGAGTAGCCCGCCGCGGCCGCCGATGTGGGGTAGTCTCCCCTTTCACCCCCAGCAATCCCGGACGATGACCTGACAAAGTCTCCTCCTCTTCCTCGGCCTGCCCCTGCCCCTCCTCCTGACATGTCGTGACGTACCCCGCGAGGAATCATGGGCGAAGACGGAGCGGCGGTGGTGGTTGCGGTGGTGGCTACTTGGGTCGTAGCTACGGCGCCGGCGCCCGGTGGTGCTCCCGCGCCACTGTCGGGGTTTCTGGTTCCGGTAGGCGTGCTGCCGGCTCCCGGTCCTACCCTCCCACCATTGGGTGCCGATGGCCCTGGCCTGGGATGGTTGTTGGTGACAGCTGCTGCCATCTGCGAAGAAGATGGTGCGGTTCCAGGAGGTTTAGAAACTAGTCCAGCTGCAGCAGGCCCGCCGCCTCCGATGTTACTATGGCTGTTGCTGTTGTTGCTGTTGCCACGGGCGGGCATTACGCTCGTCCTCTTGTTTGGGTGTGCAGGCGCGTATCCTTGCGGGCGGAAGTGTTGGGGTCGGCCCTGATTAAAGAAGACGAGTGTTTTTTTCACGCGACATCACTCAGATGTGTGCCCGAAAAACAAATGAAGAGGGTGATGGCGTGACGATGAACGAGACGCACCAGTACTACGGCTCAAAACAAGTCAGAGGGCACGCGTTCCCACGATAGGGGACTGGCGTCAGTCCCGGAGACCAACTGAGGTGTGCGGCGTCACAGCTGATACAACCCAATCAACATATGCCCTGAGCTCGTTCCTACAAATACAAACACAGTTCTCCGCGGATCAAAACTCGAACAAACCGCACGTGGTGTGTTTTTGGTTGGGAATCTCCCAATACAGTTGTCGGTGATGGCTTGCCTGCATCAACGGCGAGTACCGCGGTCGTCCCCCCCTCCCGGGGGCAACGGTCTTGTACCCTCGTCCTCGATGGGGGCCCCGCCCCTGTCCCCGCCCAGGCCCTTGCCCCCGCCCGGGCCCCTGCTGCAGCGGAATGTGCGCCGCTGCTGCTGTCATCGCCGGAGGCATGGCGACACGAGGCACACTAGCGCCGAGCCCGAGCTTACTCGCTAAGGGGTTTGCCTCCGCCCTCGGTTTGGCTGTGGACGATGCTGGCTTGCTGCCGTCGCCCACCGATCCGTCGGAAGGTTTCCGCGGATCGTCCATTTCCCCAATCTCACCGTCCAGAGACCCGTCTTCAAACAACGTAGGATTTTGCACGGAGGTGGGGCTTCCATGGTCAGGCCACACTTATCGACACGGTGTCTCATTTAGGTAAGATGGAGGGCGTTTGGTGCTCTAAAATCATTGTGTGCTAGAGCGCCCTTCCTGACTGGCTCTTTACGCCTCTCCTCTGGTTCCCAATCTCTCGCGCTTTCCCCCTCTCTAGTCGAGTCTTATGTAGATTTCCTCTCTGCCCTTCGCCATCTACATGTCGATATTCGGCTGTGACCCTCCCCGTCACGTCCGCTTCTGTCCTCTCTCTCACCTCCTGTGTCCATGACGGTCCAATCGTACACGTTGCCGTCAATATCCTCGTCGGTGTCGTCTTCACCTTCTTCTTCGTCTCCGTCTTCATCGTTGTCGTCGTCGTCACCCCAGCCGTCAAACTCATCTTCAGACGATGAAGAGGACAGATCTCTGGAAACGTCGGCAATACCCGCGCCACAAAGAGTTAGAAAAGAGTAATATGGTCAATATCAGCATATGCAGATGAGAGCACTAAATAGTACTGCTGGTATATAAGGATATTTCTCAATAACCGATTGACTACTTTAAACGGACTAGGAGAAGGAACGCCTCCATGGTGCCGGAGGGCGGCGAGGCATATCTCCCTAGCCGGCCCCGACCTATCTGTTGTTCGCTCTCCATATGGACATACATGCACGTGCATCGTCTACGCACACATTTGGAAAGTTTTCACTTACCGCGCGGGGACGTTCTGCCGCCGACCTAGTCTGTCGACAACCACTTTGACCTGTTGTTTCTCCTCCGCGTTACTATCGTTTCTGCCGTCATTATGGCCGCTAACGGCCGACACGGGTGTAGCCGCTGGGTGGTGGTGTTGCTGCGGCTCGTGGTGTGCATTGCGGCCACTATGTCGGCTCCCATCCCTCCCGTCGCCTGCAGCCACCTCCATACCATCAGCCTCTGGTTCATCCTCGCTGTCCTCACCAAAGTCCCATTTGTCGTCACTGCTGCTGTTACCACCTTCACCGCCGGGAAGAACATTGGCTTGTTCATCCGATGGCCGCCGCTCTGCTTGCCCATCGGCGACAACGCCCCGATTGCCGTGTTCATGGGAGGTGTTGCTTCGCGAGGAGCGTTGCTGTTCGGGAAGCGTGGTGAAAGCAGGAATGGAAAGGTTTGCGGATTCCTCAGACTCGGAAAACGATACGTAGCCATCCGTGGCAGTTGCAGCGAACGCTGCACCGGATGGTCCGCCACTGTTGTTGCTGACATCGCCTTCTGCAGCGTTTGATTCAGAAGTGGCTTGTTTTGGTTCGTTGTGCTGCTGATGTTGGTGTTGCTGTCGTGACTGCAGCGGTTGATGGGTGCTAGGCGAGTTGCTATCGGTTGCATCTCCTCCTGCCACACGTGTGATCGGCTGCTGATCGATGCTTCTCGCCCCCGTGGCCACCGGTACCTCAGTCTCCGTTGGTAGCCCATTTACCGGCGGCGGGGCCTCATTGCTGTTTTCACTCTTCCTAGCAGTAGTCGGAACGCGCATAGTAGGCGGCTGCCGTGCAGCTTCATTGATGACAGCGGGGGGTGGATTCAACTGGGTGTCTGGAACACGTTGCCCACCGCTGGCGTTTCTTGCGGTCTCCGTAGTCGCCGAGCAGCCATCCACTTCCCCGGCCGTGGGAGCGGGGAGGCTCCCAGTATCTCCATGTAGTTCCTGTACCACCGAGCACCAACATAATGGAGCAGGGGGTGGGGTGCAGTGTTGAAGGGCGAGCTTATTCTATCATGAACAACAGAGGCGATCGCCTTCTGCCGGCGTAGGGCTGGCTTCGACTGACAGCTCTGAAACAAAGTCAAAATAAATCATTGTCGAGACAATATCGACCCCAGATATCGTGCTTACACCCTTGCAAGCACCAAAGACCACCAGACTACTTCGTGTGGGCGTATCTCATATGACAGTCGGCGAGATCCACACCTTTGCGTGCCTTGAGACGATAGTCTACCGCTGGACGCCTCGCCTCGGCATCATGAACGACGGCTTCAGATACTTCTCTGTCGGAACGCGCTCAACTTATGTGCACACCTTGTGAGGTTTTTCCTGTACTGTGGATGGCTTAGCCTGTCCCTTATCCTGTTCGTTTAGGGGTTGTGGCTGCTGAACTTGCTTCTGCTGCTGCGGTCGCTGATTATCTGCTACAACCTTGCTCTTGCCGCTGCGCCTCTTGGCGTGCTTGTTCCCCATCTCTCATTGCTCTCTCTTCATCGAACTTCCAGTACACTTGAGATGGCGAACAAGGGACTGCTATAACAGCAGCAGGTGCGTAGTAGAAGACGTCACAATGGGTACACCACCCCTCCCACAGGTCATCACGTCCAACGAGAGAGCACGATCAACTCTCAAGCCTCGCGCCTCGCGCCAGTTACCGCGGCGCAAATCATGCCCCCGGCATGGTTTGTGTGCCGCTTCGGAACGGCAAACACGACAACAAGGAGGGCGTTGCACCGCATAATTTTTTCATCCCGCATTTTTACCGCACATGATCAGTTTGCTCTCTTCTCCCTCCACCCACTCCCCACCTCCTTCCTCCTGGAGTTGCGTGTGCTACTTCCGCCCTTCGTTGCAACCATGACCCGATACTTGCTCAAGCTCTTGCTACTGGCACCAGGTTTGAAAAGCCGCTGTTTGTCTGCGCAAGCAGTTGACAGCACAACAATAGGTCTGTCTGGCGCGCAGCATGATGGTTGCCCGTTCAAACTGCAAACCCTGCATGAGTTCGGTGTGTGTCGGCGTCCCTTAGAGCAATGGGGATGATCACAGAGATTCACAAACATTATCAAAGCGAGATTCACAAACGTTATCAAAGCTTCGACTCTGCGTCGGCGTGATCTAATATCCCGCCGCGTAAGTCGCTTGCGTGCCTGTGGTATTGGTTAGCTACGAGCTGTAGCAAGCAGTCGCGTTAGCCGACGACAGACAGCCCGTGATACACACCGAAGGTCGTCCGGCGTGTACAAGAATATCCGCTCCAACGCGGCTCCTAACGTGCGTAGCCTGTTAGCATTATGTGCTAGGTGTTGTTTTTCAGAAGTCAGCAAATTCACTGACTTACATGATTGTGACATGGACCCCGACCTATGTTCTTCAGGAGGGGTTGTTTCATGGATACTGGCGTTGTCCGCTCATCCGGCAGTCATCACCACCACCACGATGCGCGCGGTTGGCTCTTCCTCGCCTCAGCATGGTCCACGCTCTGACCCCCTCGCCAGCAGCACCAGCAGCAGCAGTAGCAGCAGCAGCAGCAGGAGCGAGGTTCTGAGGGAGCTGGGGCGTTATGCGGCAGGGGCTGGGGTCCTTTCCCTGGCCGGGGCGTGCGGAAGCCCCCTCCCAGCGCTCGCAGATAACGCTTTGGCGGCTACGAAGAAATCGTATTTCCGCTACGTGCCTCGCATCTTGGTGGGTGAATGACACCTACCTTTAGTAGTACTACAGTATTAACTCTCTGTGAGCGATTGAAACTGCTGCTTGTTGGATTCCCTGCATTGGACTACATTGTACAGTTAGACCCTTGGCACAGGATCACACAGAGTGCTCGATGATGCCTGTATCGCAATACTGCTGTGCTTGTTTGGTGGTTTTTCGCGCGCCTGGTGCGCACGCCCCAAGCAGTTCGTGTCCCCCCTGCCCCCCCCCTACTGGTGTTGTCCTCCCTTTTCCCTGTGAACGGGGACGCCCATGTGGACGGTTTGGATCAGGGCGTTGACCTCCACAGCAGTCTTTCTATTATCACGACGCCAGCGTCGTTGCTACCTTTTCGTTTTTAGGACGCCATGGCGTGGTACGAGGGAGACCTTCAGAAGGCCATCGCTGAGGAAGATTGGCCAAAGGTATAAGTTTTCGGGGCGTGCCCACTTGCGCCGCTCTCGTGTAGCCTGCCTTGGCGCTAACGCGATTTCTTTTGGGGGATTGCTTCGTGCAGCCGGACGACATTTGTGCAACCTATCTGTCTCAGACCACTGGCCTGGTCGCGTTCGTGTTGCCGAACGATTCCTATGTGTATCCCAGCATTCCAACTTTTCTTCCAACATATGATACCACCACGGAGAGGTGTTGTTACACCACTCCAGACCAGCGTTCATGCCCTGCATCGCACGCTCACCACAGCACCATCCCGGTACCTTCAATGCCATTTTGAGGCGCTAATATTTTCCCGCGAAGTCTGTGACATGCCTGAGATGTGCGCCCCACGCTGTCAGCTTTCTCTAATATCTCTCGGCTGCTGGTTGTTAAATCATTTGACATTCCCCATTAGGTCTTTATTGGATTCTTCGATGTATTGTAGCTGTTTCGCGCACTATGAAACACCTTCCTTTCTGTGTCATTTGCCGAGATCGCTGCGCTTGTTTCATGTTCCCAATATTCAAACCACCATGTGGTTCCGATTCATGATTCGACAGGTGCTGGCGTACTTCGAGGTTGTCAACACCGCTAGAAGCGACTCGTCTCGGCCTGCCATGTACCAATCCTCCTCGAGCCGCATGCAGAGGGAGCTCTTCAGCCCCCTCTCGGTGTGGGCGCAGTCGATGAGCATCAAGGGGACCGGGCGAGTCGGAATGGTCTTGTTTTGCTATCGCCATATATACCCATCCCCACCGACGGGATACCGCTGTGTTGCGAATGCGATTTTCACACGGCAGCACCACAGTCGCTCGCTCCCCGTGTTCCTATATTTGCGATTTGTGCGCGAAGAAGGGGGGAATTTAGGACAAATGTGGTAGGTGTGCCAATACAGATCATTGTTAGGCTTCCTCTCTTCAGGCTCACTCCAGTCGGTCGTCCAACCTGGAACGTCGTCGCGGATTAGGGCCCTAGAATGCGAAGGATAGACAAGACTCATCAATTTATTTTTGCTTGTATGATGGACGCACTTATTCAACCCCCCTTGCCCCTACTTCTTCTACAGTTGAACGCAATAGCCCCGTCCCTCCCTCGACTATGCACAACGCTTTGTTATGGCAACACTATCTACCAGAGCCAAGCTCCGGGCATTGTTGTCCCAGGAGGAGAAGTTGGAGCAAGCTATGGCCAGCCTTGAGAAAGCGGCCAGCGGGAAGAGTCTAAAGGAAGGGGAGAGCCAAGGCCAGGTGCGTACGAGGGAGATTCTGTCGACCACGTGGGCATAAGTGCCGGTATTAGACCGTTAGTTCTCTCGACTTCAACCTTGTTTTACGTCGGACAGTGTTTATTCCAGGGTCGCCCTCCTAATGTGCCCGGCCGACGCCATCTGATACTGTCCGCCTCGCGCGATTTTTCCGTCCTGCCTCCCCAACACACGAAAACGGCCCCGAAAATGATCATGAAGGCGGCAAAAGCTGCGTGGGAGGCGGGAAGGGACGCGCTTCAGGAGTATGTGGAAGTCGCGAACAAGGGGATGGTTCGCTCGTTGAGGAAGATCGACACACCGTTTTCTACGTAGTGCGGGTAGAGCACCCTCCTTCATTCTGCGGTCGGAGAAAGGGACGTTGCACGGACCCAGCCAGCAAGGCAGCCAACCTGGCAACCAGATGAATCTTGTAGTCTGCAGTCGAGTTGTAATCGGCCTGGTCTGGCCCCTGTCCTCTTGCTGAAGGTTGCTAGCCTTTCTTTTTTTGGACGCAGAGCGCGCCGCAACTTCGGGACTTTGGGGGGGGAGAAGCTCAGGCCATGCTTATTGAGGTTATTGCTTGAACCTTTGGGGACCCAGTGTTGTCGATGTTGGGTTGCCCCGTAGGGAAAACGAAGACCGGGGACCCTCGCTGAAAGGACGGTCCTGTTGTCGACTAATTTCGCGCGTACTTGTGTCCGCCACGTCCTTTTGCCATATGGTGTGCGTACCTTCTCGCGTGGCCCTTTTGGCGATTGTCTTCATGGCTGCCGGACCCATTGACTTTGGGCCCAAATCTTGTCCCGGACCTTTTTATTTGTAGGAGCATAGTTCTCATCGCGCGAGGAGTTGGAGGAACTTTGTTGCAGGTATTCGTGGCCTACACACTAGATACATTACAACAGCAACTTTGCACCTTGAAATTTAGTACTTTGAAGAAGGCTAGATAGCAATATAGCAGAACCCTGTGGCTTGGCCCACTTTTTGACCCTCCTCGATGACTTTTCTCGAGACTTGTTGCCTCTTCCTCTGGGAGCTGGGCATCAAGCGTGGTGCACCGCCCCAGGATGTGCTGTGCATTACTAGAATCAAGACTCGCGTTCTTACCTACGGAGTATATTTATCTCCATGTGGCGGCGCCCCCCGGAGCAAGTGCTTTTTCCGCCGCCAGGTGCTATTTTGACATCGTCGGTGTCAGTCGCCAGGAGGAGCTCAAAGGGGATGTATGTTACAGGCATAGTGCTGTTTGTGCTCCTTCTTGCGGGTGGTCTAGAGCCAATCGGGCCTCGTGGGTGGTGCAGCTCAGGTATTCCGCCGGCTTCAGCCCGTCCCATTTCTTGGTAGGGGAGGATGACATGGGCGTATAACCGTACCACGTAGAAAGAGTGGAAGCCCGGTGTGACTTGTTCTTTTCGGTGGCCGGGGAAGAAGCGTGGGAGCGGGACTGCTTGTACCGGGGGGGCAATAGAAGGACTCGTTTGCTCGGCCACACAGAGAGGGGGGCCGTTGATCTTCGCCAGTCGCCAGTCGAAACAAGGACCACATAAATGACGAGATTGTGTGGATGGTTCACCAGACTAAAAATGAAACAAAGTCATTGTTGTGCGCCCTTCCTCCCGCTGTGTGAGCCCGGCCGATGAGTCGACGACATACTGTATGCGTCCAGAATACATGGGATGACATGCAGCACGCGACATTTATAGCAAGAGTAGTGGCCACTTATCGGCGGGGGGGAATGGCCCGTTCTGAAATACGGGTGTTGCAGAGAAGTGCTGGTAGCCTACAAGATCACGAGCGTCTCTTTGATCAAACGCAAGCCGCAGCTCGGGTTGCCACTTTTAAGTACAAAAGGTAGTGCTGCTGCTCAGCGCGCAGCAGAGAAAGGGTTCAGACCTCTCGTGGGTTATCGTTCGTACCACATCATTTCACCTTGGAAGGAACCGAGCACCACCTGTCCTGGCACTCAGGTTCTGAGTTTTCGAGAAAACTGAACCCTCGATGCCTCCAGTGCCAGCTTCTGGCATCGGGGGCGGTCTGTGCCGACTCGCACTCGTGTCGTGTCGTACGCTCCTTTACCGTGGCGTCCATAGCCGACTGTCTTAAAAAATATCAAACTACCCCTCGTCTACCCAACGCAGACCGCATGACAAATACCAATAAAGTACGCAACATGGACTGATGGACGTGCACGAAACCTACCGATCCCCCCCAAAAAACATCTTCTTCAAAAGAGAACGGAGAAGAGGGAGAGAAACACAACGGGACAAGAAGAAGAAAAAAATCGTATTAGACGTTACAGCCCAATCAATCGGAGAACACGAGGAAAAAATAGCAGCAGAGAATGAGGAACAAAACACATCCCCAAATATAAATATGTCACATGTGTGAGAAGAAAAAACTACAAACAAAAAGGGTTTCTAGGCCAAAGCACTCCTCATGTCGGGTCCCGCAAGGCGGGACTCAAACAACACAACCCCGAATAATGCCACCGAAAACAAGCGCAACCGCCCAACCAAACGACCCAGCCCACAGGCAACAGCAGGAAAACAATAAAGGGAACGCTCCAAAACACCGACCGAAGCACTAGACTTTGGGTTTGAAAGAAACGCAAAAAGTTGCGGCATTCTTGCCGTGGACAAAAAACAGAGGGAACGCAGGCCGGAGGAGCCCTGTAATAGGTCTCGTTGTCAGGCCGGCTTCCACTCAGCCGTCTACCCAGCACCTAAATAGCCGCGCGTCGACAAAGGCGCCTCTGCTGATCAAAACCGCTAGTTCTACGCCAAGCTCGCAGGGACCATCGAACCAGCGGAGGCCTTGAGACTGTCCATTCCTCCTGAAAGGCAACGGTGATTCTCGTACACCGCTGACACACGCATCTATCCCAAGGTGGATCCGCTGCGTACTCTTTTACGTACAACAACACCGCGACCAAGACCTTGCCGAGGGGTTGGTTGGGGTTCTACAAAAGCGTCACGTGGACGCCAACAGCATCGTCAGGGCCTCCTATAAAGGGCCTCGAAAGACGGGCCTGTGCATCACCAAATGATGATTGACCGCCAAACGACACATCTACGCGACCAACGTACGTTACCGGG